GCTCAGGAGGCGCAGTGGGGAAGCCGGGGGGGTTGTCCGCAAGGCGAGCCATCGCCGGGGCACACCCATCAGCTCCCAGCGCCGACCTCCGCCACCCCACCTGGCGGCCCGACCAGCAGCGCGCCGCGCGGGATCTTGGCGCCCAGCTCCTTGTACTTCCCCGGCTTCTTCAGGAAGTTGACAAACTCCATGATCTCCAGCTTGGCCTCGTCGCACCCTGCCACGTCCTTGAAGGACACCTTGGCGGCCGCAGGGTCCATGGCGCCCAGCTTGGCCTTGCCCACGTTGAAGATGCCGCGCGCGCCGCCCGCGCCGCCCTGCCCGCCCAGCATCTGGCCCAGCTGGCGGCGCGTGAACCAGACGTACCCCGCGATGAGCAGGATGGTGGGCATCAGCTTCCACAGCTCGCTCGACCACATAACCTCGTCCACGTACGTCACGTCCACGCGCCGATCGGCGGGCACGCCCAGTGCGTCCTGCGCGGCCTCCAGCGCGCGCTCGAAGGCGTCCACGCTGCCGATGTTGAACCAGAGCACCGTCTGGCCGCCGCGCTTCCCGCTGGGGGGGGACAGCGACGGCGGGGCGGGGATGGGGTCGGCGGCGCCGCCCCCCGAACCCACCCCCGCGCCGTCGCCAGTCTCCATGGTCGCCTGGGCGTCGCCCGTGATGCCCAGCCCGTCGCCCGGCGCGGCAGACATGTAGACACGGACCTTGTTCCGGTTGACCACCTCCACGCGCTGCACCGCGCCGGTGGGCAGCGCGTGGGCACGGAACCACTGGAAGGACACCTCGCGGCTGGTCTGGGTGCTGGGGCTGGGCAGCAGGAAGAGGGACACCAGGACCATGATGAGCAGGGGGCCGGCGTTGGCGCGCAGGGCCTCCAAAAAGTCCACCGTCTCCTTCTTCCCAGGGGGAACCTCCTTGCCGGACGCGCCCTTGCCGGGCGCGCCCTTGCGCTTGGGATAAAACTTGCTCCAGCCCTTGGGCGGGGGCGGGTCGGTGCTGAACAGGCGCCGCCCCAGCTGCCGCTCCACCTGCAGGGATTGAGGAGGAGGGCAGGTCAGAGAGATTGGAGGGTTTGACAGCCATAACAAGGCTCAACAAGCAGGCCTCGGCAGAGTGTCGGTAGAGGCTGCAGTTCTACACGCGCGGCCCACACACGATGCAGGGTGTAGAGCAAGCACACCACACAATCCGTGGGCCCGCCCGCAGCAGCCGATTACGCTCCACCCCACCCACCTTCTGCAGCTGCCGGTTGAACTGTCGGGCAGACATCACCGGGGCCCCCGCCTGCTGCTGGGAATGCTGCACCAGGCTGCGGAAGCATCGGACTGCCGTCTGGGCTGCCTGGGATGACGTGGTAGTGGGGCCAGAGGCCACGGCCTCGCCCGCCAGCGTCGCGATCACGGATCCGGCATGGCTTGCACCTGATGTGACGGCTCCCGACTGCGAACTGGATTGGAGGATGCGCTGCAGCTGGCGCAGCGCACCACTGCGGGACAGCATCCTACTCTACCAGCACGAACTCGGGCTGGGTAATGAAAATGCACGAGACCCCTCACGCATTCAATGTGCACAAAAGGGGGCTTTGTGCGGCTGCGTGCGATGATGTGAGAATATGCAGACTTTTTGGACGTGTCTGGATGTGCCCAATGATGGTTGTCCAGTCAGCACAATCCCTCTGCCCAAAATTTGCTTTCTATGCTGAACAGCTATGTGGAGCATTTCGGACACGTCATGTTACAGAGACCCATCAGGGGAAGATGCATGAGACTATAGCTCGGCATGCTCTTGCCATGTAGGTGCCTGACGGTCAAGAGAGGGGTTTTGGACAGCTGGGCCAACCTGGGTGGCCCTCCTGACCTCCTCCCTGGCTACAGCTGGGGAGGCAGCCGGAAGCCCAGGCTCCTGGATTTGCTCCCGCGCCTGCTTGACCAGAGGGGCCGATCCGTCTGAGAAGATTACCTGCTGGGCCGGTCTCCCTATGCTGTTCACGTCAGTGAGGCCGGTCGGCATCCCAGGACCAGGGTCCTCGGCCAGTCTCGCCTGAGTGAGGGGTTGTGCCCCCGGCCCTGGTCTACCAGCACCGGCCCTGTGCCTCAGCAGCGCGAGGACGTTTCCTGGCTTCAGCGACCCGGGGACAAAGTAGGACACACGCTTCTGGACGATGTATAAGGCCACGGCACCAAAGATGATGACGCCGGTCCACAGGAGGATGTTGTCCTGATGGGATATTTGTTGGGATGGGGGCTTGCACTGCTGGAAGGCGCGTACATGGGCAGCATCATGAGTAGCGCCTTCCCTCCGGTGGTCGCAGGATCCCGACCCCCTCCATGTGAGCAGAATGTTCCTGCCGCAACAGCCACTTGTCAGCATGTCCCTCGGCACCATTGTCGAGCAGGCAGGCAGCTCCCCCGCGCCCCCCGGACCGCACCAGGTTGCTCTGCCAGTTGATGGTGCGCAGCAGGCGCCGCGATCTCTTGAGCAGGGGCGCCTGGCCGACGTACTCGTCTCTCGCCCCGCGCAGCTGGCCGTGGCTGGAGTCCAGGGCGGCCAACGTGGCAGACGTGTGCTGCAGCTCCTCCGCCAGCACCTGGCGAGCCCGCTTCAGCCCCTGGGTCACGTTCTGGGAGGTGGCCAGACGGGAGGAGGCCGCCGCGGCCCGCTGCGCTGCGGCGGCAGCCGAGAGTCCCTGGGCCGAGGCCGCGCCCAGCAGCTCGCGTCGCTGGGAGGCGCCGGACGCCGCCAGGGCCGCTCGTCGGCGCTGCGCGGCGGCGGTCAGCGCGTTCTGCAGGGCCTCGTGGGTGGCCTTGTGCCGGGTGATGAGGCCAGCATTGCTCTGGGCCTCGGCCTCCCTGGGAGTGGGGATGCGGCAGGTGGAGGGCAGTTCCAGGTGAAGGGGTGAAGAGTGTCTGGTGGAACAGTGCACGACCATACCCTGCAGGAAGCGAGTGTGCTTGCCGAAAACCGCATGGATGACATGCCCCTGGCGCTGTGACCCGACTCCTGGCTCGGAAGTGTGTTCATCGACCTTACACCACGCACCCGCTGCCTTCCTCGCTGACGAGCTCGAGATCACGCATGGCCTGCCTGCTCTGCGACATGACGGCATCTATGGATGCTTTGAGCGCTTGGATTGTGTCGGGAGACACCAGGTCTAGGTCGTCATATTGATTGATGAGGCTCTGCGCGGTGGCCTCCCGCTCGAGCAGGGCCGTGTGCTTGGGATGCGCCTCCAGCAGCATCGCAGGTATCCGACCGCGATATACGAGTGTATCAACCCACAGTTACAACTCGTCTGCCGATCACTCTCTGGAACGAGGGGCTCTCTTCCCTGCCGGATCCAGGATCCGAGATGCCCTTTCGGCATGCTGGGGGGTGCACCGTTTGACTACTTTACAGGTTGAGTGGGAATCAACGCGCCGAGGGATCGCATGTGAGATTTACTGTTGTTACATACACCTTTGTTATGTCACAGAAGCCTCCAGACCAGGGGCTGGGTAGCTTATTCAGGGTCCAGCACATTCCTCATCAGTCACTGGACCCGGTGGATCTGAGGCATGGTGGAGATGGAACAATTGACGATGAGTATCCCAAGAGACCCCTTGCACGACGGCAGGAAGCAACACGTTTCGACAAACACTTCCCTCTCCCGAGCCCCTCTCCACTGGCCCACCATATGGAATCATGGCCGACATCTTCTGGAAGCTGTGGATGACCTCCGGGTCCCGTGCCATGGCTGCACGCACATCGTATCCTGGCAAGAGGCGCTCGGCCTCGCGTATGGCATCCTGCACCCCCTCGACATCCAGATACACAGGGAACTCGGCTATCACCCTGTTGTTTGGGGGGCGGAGGCGCGGATTACGTGCTTGGCGAGTGCATGGGAGTGGGCCAATTATTGGTGACCCGTCTACTCCATCCTCCCAATAGTGCCGCAGCTACGCTCCCACAGGTCCGCCCCAGTTCAAATTCCTTGCCTGCTCATCCCAGCCCACCTCTCAACGTCGATGCCGGGCAGCAGGGCCTCCAGCCGAAGCACCGCATCCTGCAGCCCCCTGGCACTCCAGCTCAGCACCACGCCTGGATGGTCGGCAAGCATCCGGCCCAGGTTGGCGCGCGGCAGGACCTGCCGCAGCTCCAGCACGCGGCCGGGGATCTCGTCCACCCTTTCCACCAGGGCCTGCACCAGCGGGGCCCGCATGCGCGGCAGCTTGTGCACCAGGTCCGGCAGGTAGCAGGTCAGCCGCCCGAGCCTCTGCTCCACCTCCTCCTCCTCCAGGCCCAGCCCGGCCGCCACCGCGGCTTTCAGGAGGCGAGCGGTGAGGTCCTCGGACCACACCAGGTTCCTCTCTGCCACCTGGTAGTAGAAGCCCCAGGGGTCCTCGCCGGATGCCGCCTTCCTCTGAAAGGACTGTCTCATGTAGATGTTTTCCGGGGGGGGGAGTCTTCAGGTGTGGGCTTCGGTGGGTGTACAGCACTTTCCTTGTTTATCTGGAGACCCTCAAAGCCATGCTTGCATCTGGAATGGAGACCTCACCGGTCCAGCTGCAGCTTTGAGGCGCCCATCAGAGCTACGATATGTCGCCACCGATTCCGGTATTTCCTGAGAGCCGCCCTCTGCGCGTGGGGTCGCATGGACAGCGACGCGGCGCCCGTGATGACGTGCATGACCTGGGCTCCAGGCGCCGGGTCTGGGCAGCGCATGATTGAGTCGCGAGAGCTGCATGGAGGAGCAGGAGGGGCTTACATGGCACACTAAACTCATTGTGAGTCCAGGCAGAGCATCATCGGTGGCGTCTGTGACGTTCGTAGAGAGTTGTTGCTGAGTGACGCGAGAATCGGGCGGGGGACCGACTTGTGGAGGGAGCACGCATAGCACGGGAATTCAAGTCCGGGCCTGCTAGAGGTAGGAACACAGCATGTGCACGAGGTGGCGACAGTCAAACATCACATCCCTTGCCCTCCAAAATCTGTCGTTGGAGGCATATCCTTGGCGCGAGCCTGAGCGTTTGGTGGAAGTACGACCGAGAGCGATCGACCAGAGTAGCACAGCTCGACCATCCATGACGACATTCTACGGAGCAGGGAACGGCGGATTCGATGCCTCCGCCTCGCAGTTTGCGGGCGGTGGCTTCATGCCCAGGTGGGGCTGTGAGCTGGGCTTGCGCTTGGATTTGAATGCCGGGGTGTCGGGAATGCATCTGCTGGCAGGGGGAGTATGAATGACGCGTCCCATTCCCGAACATCCACCTCCAGCCAAGGCGCAACCGCTGGTGGCAGCGCACAGAAGGTGTGCTGGGTTGTGGAAGGGTAGACTGCCTGCTATGGGGTTGGAAGGGCACCGCTGCCTGCTGTGTGTGGATCTCTGCAGCCCGTCGGCCGCGCCTGGCGCTCATCCATTCCCTCCCCAGCACCTCCCCACCCCTTTTCCCCCCACCCCCTAGCGCTCGACGTACGACAGCAAGAACCAGACGCTGCGCGCCTTCACCATCAAGCAGCTGTACGATGCAGCCTCCGCCACCGCCGACGACCAGCTGTCGGTGGATGGCCGGGATGTGACCAACGTCACCCTGGTGGGCAAGATCACGGCCGTGGAGGAGCAGAACCTGGTCAGCATCTACACACTGGACGATGGCACGGGGACCATGCTGACCAAGTACTGGATCCCAGAACAAGACGACGCCCTGGTGAGGTTTTGATGTTGTTGTTGTGCGGCGGAGGGAGGGAGGGTGGGGGTGTCGAGGAGCTGTCGAATCGTTCCATGCTGCGGCTTTGCGCTGCTGCGCCTCGATCCTCGTTTGCGCATGTGCAGCCTATCGTGCACATGCGGCCAAGGCACATGCAGGTCTCCTGTGGCCTCTCCACATCCCAAATGTGTGATCCCCGACCGCGATTCTCGTGCAGGAGCGCCAGCACCGCGCCGAGTGGCGGGTGGGGGTGTATGTGCGTGCGCACGGCCACGTCAACCACTTCAACCGCGAGAAGATGCTGGTCGCCTTCAACATCCGCCTGATCACCGACCACAATGAGGTGGGTGAGAATGGATGGTGCAGGCTGAAGGGATGTGGATGGCTGTACTTACCTGCATTGCAGGGCAGGCTGCTTGTCCTCCTAGGCATAGAACACTTGACTGGAGTCTGCTGCAAGGGGCCTGGACTGATTGGGCGTTGCCAGCAGAGCATCAACAGGACCCTCGCTGAGAAGGGTTTCGCCGAGGCTGTAGCTCGGGTGATCCTTTGTTTGTGTCAGCCCCAGTGGTACACTCCTGACTCTCTTCCCGCCTCCATCCCCTCCCTTCACAGGTCACCTACCATGGCCTGCAGACCATCTTCCAGCACCTCCACCTGACCCGTGGCCTGCCGGCTGCCGATGCCACGGCCCCGGCCGGCGCGGCCGTGGGTTACGGTGCCGCGGCAGGACCCCTGCCCGGCGCAACCGCAGTGGCTGGGCTGACCCCGGTCCTGAACGACGTCCTGGGCCTCTTCCATGCCATAGGCGGGCAGAACGAGAACGGCGCCAGCATCTCAGATGTGAGCATTGGGGTGGCGAGGGGGTATGATGCCAGGTTGGGGCTGATTGAGGAGTTTCCCCCAAGCGGCACGCTCTTGATCTTCGCTGCCACAAGCGCGTTCTGGTCCCATTTGTCTTTCATCCAGGTGGTGGCGCGGAGTGGCGGGCGCTACACCGTGCAGCAGATCCAAGACGCGGTGGAAGCCCTGCAGAACGACGGGCAGCTGTACTCCACCAAGGATGACCAGCACTACAAGCCCTGCAACGCCCTCTGAGGCTGTCCTACTGCCAGGCTGTTGGATGGCGGCACAAGGGCTGTCTGGGGTTTGCCCTAGGTTGTAATGAGCATCAATCTGGAAGTCACACCGTCACGAGAGTACAGACACCCTCCATTGGATGCTGCCTCTGAGGCGTGACTGGATAACAATAGGCCAGTTTGCATGAGAGCATGACAGTGATGGCAAGATCAGGTCCCAAAAGCTGGCATAGGAGTAGAGATGGGATGGCCAACAGAGGCCATGCACAGCGGTTTGCACAAGCCTGCAGCAGCGCACCTGCTGTCTCTGGCCATGAGCACCTGGAAAGGAGCGCGCTCAAACGCGCCGGCCTCAGAATCGCACCTTGCGCTTCCGCCCGGTGTACTTTGTGTCCGGCTTGATGTTCTCGTGGCCCCGCCCCCGCTGCTGCGCCTTCTTCTTCACGATCCACTCCACGCCCTTCCCCGCCTTCCCGCCCTTGCGCCGCTTGGTCCGCCGCTGGCCGACCTGGACCGCGCCGTAGGCCTCCTCCTCGTCGCTCGGATCCTCACCGTCCATCCCACGGGACGCAGGGAGCGCGGCGTGGCCCCCCACCTGCACATGAGATGGGACGAGGGGGGAATATGGACATTGGCGACGGGATGTGCCACCCCAAGTCGGCATTAGAACCAATCGGCATCTACAGAATGCCTCTGCACCAGGCACTTGACCTACCAGCAGGACCAGGAAGTACTTCTTGGCACGTGTACTGTGCGGGAAGTCCACCACCAGACCCCCCGAGAAGCCAACCTTCATGGCAGCATTCGTCAGCAGCGCAGCCTGTCAAACGGACAAAGAATGTTGGGGAATTCGGGGGTGGTTTACAATGGAAGCTGACAAAATCGTGCATCCTACTCCATCAGGATGGCATCATCTCCCATCCATTTCATCTCACGCTTGCTGTACAGATGCAGGGAGCCTCTGCACCCTCAGCACAGCTCTGCTCAGCCCCGCACCTGATCTGTGCTTTCCGGATAGATTTGTAGTACAGCCCTGCCCCCTTTGGCCAAGCATCGATACAAGGTTTCGAAGAAGCGCTTCATCCGCTTGCGAGGGTCATGGGAGCTGCGATCCTGTGAGGGGACGAAGGGGAGGGGTGTGCTGAACAGGCAGCTCCTAGGAGGCATGGATGCTCAATTGTGCAGGGGAGGGATGCCCATTCTCGCCTCTGGATGCAAGACCGTAAACTAAGGTAATCCTCCACGACCCTCGCCACGATTTGAAGCCTTAAGGTTCCAGACCGGCACCCCAGCCATCCCCGCACCGCATTGCAGAGCCACTGCACGGCGGAGATGCTGATGGCGCCGTCAAACATGCCGGGCCTGAGCGGCAGTCCGTGGCCGAGATCCTGGAGGCAGATGTCCCCCTCCACTTCCCTTTCCCGGGCAATCCCCAGCATTGAAGGGCTGATGTCCATACCCTGTGTATGAAGAAAGGAGAAGGTGCTTTCATGCAGGTGAAAGGCTGCCTTGCTGTGGAGAGCCCCTAGAAGCAAAGTGGGACACCAAGCACGGTCCCTCCATGACAGGGGAGGGACCAACAGTCTGGACATTGACCTAGCCAGACGAGACATCTTCCGTGCAATTCAGCGTCGAGACTTCAAATTCAGAGGCTGGTACTCCAGCACCCTCTCACCAGCCAGACATGGCCGGCATCGGTCAGCGTCTCCCCACTCAGTCCCGAGCCGCAACCCAGATCCAGGAGGTACTTGGGCCTGCCATCATCGGGCAGCGCCAGCAATTCCAGGGCTCTTTGCGTCAGCTGTGTTTGAATGTTGACCATGCGAGTATTGTCTGTGTACTTCCTGGCCTCCTCCTCATTGTAGAACACGTCCGGCGGTGCCGTGAGCTCGGGCCGGTCGGAGCGACCCATAGTGGCGGGGCAGAGCCGCGGGGATTGGTGAGGGAAAACACTTTGGGGATGTATATTGTGATATAGTCGCGTCGACGAGCTGTGCGTGATGAAAATTGTTTCGCGAACACATGCATGGATGCTCCAACACTCCGCGCGCCTCCAACGCTGCCCCTTCGCGCGCGGTGGCAGGATATCCATCCATCCGGACCCCATTCCCCCGTTTTCTGATAAACATTCCTGCCATGAGGATCCCATTAATGTACAGTAGGCAATCAAGTTCTGGGTGGACAACTGTCCCAAGGGTTCCAGCAGGACGGGCGCCGGTGGGAGGGCATGCCTGCGACTCTCATGCTGCAAGCTCCGCCTGCAGCTCTTCCAGTTCCAACTCCTCAGCCGTCTTTGCCACGGCAGCGGGCTGCAGGATGGGGGATGTGTGGGGGGTGGTCAATGGGTCTTGCGGCCAGAGCAAAGGGTTGGGACGTCCAGTATGACGACTGTATGGCATGCCCCGCCCGGTGCGAGGCATTTCTCCTGCCCGCATGCTAACCCAGGTTGACATAACGTAGGCGCACAGACGGCCACGCCAAGGCATGACCAGCTGGGCTCGTGAGTGCTGCCCCCACTGCATGCCCCGCTGGTCCCCTCCAGGTGCTTTCCTGCAATGTCAGACCCTCCCCGCCCCCCATCTCGACACGGGACGAACC